GCGGGGCCGCTGCTCCCTTCCCGTGAGACGGCGCGCGGGGACCGGGGGTGTGTGTGGCCTGCCCGTTTTCTGGGGGATTCTCGGTCGTGGTCTCCCCCTCGGCTGGAAAGGGGGTTCGGCGGCTGGGCGCTGCGCCTGCCTCAGACATCCCAGGGTTTCTTTCCAACTTTTACAACACGCGTAAAGAGAAGCAGAGGTGGTGATGGGGAGGAAGAGGAAGGAAGCTTACGACGGATGGGGACCGGGGGTGTGTGTGGCCTGCCCGTTTTCTGGGGGATTCTCGGTCGTGGTCTCCCCCTCGGCTGGAAAGGGGGTTCGGCGGCTGGGCGCTGCGCCTGCCTCAGACATCCCAGGGTTTCTTTCCAACTTTTACAACACGCGTAAAGAGAAGCAGAGGTGGTGATGGGGAGGAAGAGGAAGGAAGCTTACGACGGATGGTCGCTTGAGTTGAGGGAAGAAGGGAGAGGCTGGAGTCGGAGGCTGGCGGCCTGTTTCTTTTCTGTGCAAAGGTTCGAAACCGCTCCCTCAGGGAATTGAAAAAGGACCTGAAGTTTACGCGCCCACGGACCCCAACCCAAGCTTAGCAACAAACCACGTTCTTTATCTCTCAGTGGTTGGAAGATTCTTCTGCTCACGACAGACAGGAATTGCCTTCTGTCATAGGTGGCCCTTTTTGCGCATGGCATCTTAGGGCACGAGCAACAGCAAACACTGGTGTTCAGCTTTGTGCCTGGCGGATTCCACGCAGGAGAGAGTCCTCTCTCAAATGACTCTTAAGTCTCCTGTAGATGAAAACTTTCTCTTTGTGTAGAGTGACTGGCAGGTTCTGAGGCACCAAAGCCTCAGAAACATTGGCACAGAGGGCATCCTCCTGGATATGAAGGTGTGGAACATGCAGGTAGCCCAAGGCCAACTGTAGGGTGTCTGGTATTCCTTTCTTCCTCTTCTGGATCTATTCTGGGTGGTGCTGACATGCTGTTCTGTGCTTGACAGTGCTCTGCACATAGGGAAGGATTTGGGCTGGACAAAAATCACTGCCATCTGTCAGGAAATGTTATTCTGGACAGGTGGATGTATAATTTGAGTTGATCAGCCCAAAACTGACTGTGGCCTGCGTGGTTGCCAGTCCCTTATCCCTGTCATCTGAACATATCAGAAATGAATGCTCAGATATAATAGTTTTCATTGGCAATAACTATGCTTAGGGAAGGGAGAAGGTTACAGTCTTCTGATCATGAAGATGCATACTTTGAGGTACCCTTGTGTTTAAAATGAGGTGCACAGGCATATATGGTTTAGGTCCATATTCAGTAGACTAACTGACCTTTCTTTTGAAATTTCATATATATATATATAGCCAGCATTTTAATTAAATAGTATTTTTCAGCTGGCCATATGAGCAGCAGGATTTATTAATATTAATGTTTTAATGACTGTTTTAAATAAAGGGTGTTATTATAATATTGCCTATTTTTAATGGTTTTAATGTTTTTAAAGTTTTAATATTGTTGCACGCCGCTCAGAGACCACTGGTAATGTCGCAGCTAAAAAAAAATCTTGTAAATAAATAAATAAATAAATAACGGGACTAGTGCCCAATTTCAGATTCAGACGAGGAGTGGGTAGGTAGTGAAGATAACATAAATTTACAACCAGTCTCTTCTTGCAACCAGGCATCAAGCAAACATTCATGATCTGCTGGCATGAGTTCTGCCAGCCACTTCCACAAATACCCATCAACCTTCTGCTCAAATTCCTGCTGACCCAACAGCAGTCTCTCGTGGTCCTCTTCCCCTGCTCTTCATTTTGCACCCAACAGCAGTCTCTCGTGGTCCTCTTCCCTGGTACACCTGTGCAGGACTATGTACCCCATATATACCCCAGATAGTAGCAGCAGGAGCACTCAAGGCTGCTTTGCCCATCCCTTTGCATGAGAAAATAATCTGTCCCTCTTTGTCACTTGTGGCATTCTAGCACCACCTTGTGGACTGAAGTCCTGCTATTCTTCCTATTCACAATTCACTTTTCTGCCTTCTTTTCTCACAGAGAAGGAATTGTGTTCAACCTGGGAGAACTAATGACATAAGGAGGGACACACAGTCCAGAACAGGTAAGGAATGATTAGAAAGCACCTTGTTACGCTAAATAAGTTCAGAGCTCCAGGTGCTAAAAGAACTTGCAGGTGTTGATGCAGAGATGTTTATAACCTTTGAGAATTCTTGGAAAAAAACTGAAGTGATGAAAGATGGGAAGTGATGCAATGACCCAGACTTCAAAAACAGGAAACCTTCAGATGAGCCAGTCTGACATTGATGTAAGGCAATATTTTGCCCCCCCCCCGTTTTATCTGATTTATCTTGAAAGGCTCCCAAAAATGGACCCAAAGCCAGAGTCCTAACTTGCACCTGCCAATCTACCTTGCTAGTTGCCTTTGAGAACCATCTGTATGGCCATGTCCCTCTACACCACTCACCAAGCACTTGCCTCTGTACAGACAGATCAATCACCTACAATTTCTTCTCCTCTGGCAGGGGAGACTACACATCCGTAGTTTTGGCACATAGTCCTAGGGGAGGGTGATGATGGTATGGGTGAGGCCAGCAAAACAAAGAATTGATCTGGGTGTTGAAGATAGAAGAAAAACATGTGTGGCCAGATTTCTTTACATGAAAACAACAGCTCAATGGTTCAGGTATCTGACTGTGGAGCCAGAGGTTGGGAGTTCGATACTCCTCTGTGCCTACTAGAGAAAGGCTGGGCTTGATCACCCACAGGGCCCCTTCCAGCTCTGAAGTTCTAGGAGAGGATCTTCCAAAGTGCCAGAGAAAGGGGCCTTGCAGGCTCTACGTCAAAGATCCCCATTTCAAATATTTGTGACTCATCAATTTACCTCCACCACTTCCTGCTCATACCCTGCGGCTCTAGTATCTGCAGTCACCTTGTCCTTGCACAGATGTGCTCCATGGTTCCAATGCATACGAAGCATTCTTTTCCAGACTGCACATTATAAACAAGCCTCTTGCTGTGCATTGTACAAAATTCCTTTAATCCAGTTATTAGTATAATAAATATTGCTGGAACTGCTTTCAGCAAGAGACTTAGACTTTATGGTTCTGCCAGAAAAACATGCAGGCATATATATACTCTGTGGTAAATAAAATTCTGTTACAGAGGTAATTGAAATGTTATACTATGAGCAGATGAAGTCTATGACATATACAAATTATACTAGTTGAGCAAACCTGCATAATTTAATCTTATTTTGTCTGTACTATTTTACATAACAATTTGCTTTCCCTCTGGGATGAAGAAACTAAAGCTGTGCATCCAATGTTTCGTTACTTCTCAGACTATTGGGGTTTCAGCTGACATTGCAGAGAGATGTGGAGACAGAACTTCTAATAATAAGGCTATACATCTTGTAAATGAAAGGTGAAATTTTCTGGAAGCTGAGACTTCCATTTAGTACCACTTTTGGCCTAGGAATTGTGGCCTAACACACAGGCCTGAGCATGTGATACTGCAAATGAATCGGAACTGGTGTTGAGCTGGTAATGAGGGGCCAGGGCAAAGACACAGCATTCTTCTGAGAAACATTCTCCCACTCTCCACACCCCTTGCCACATACACCACACGCCCTACCTTTAGCTGGGAATTTAAATAGTAAAATATTTATAGGGGACAGTGAGAAAAGTGTAGAGAAGTAATTTCTTTAAGCCTTACTTCCAGGAAGGACATCTGGTTATATCGGCGATGATGCAACCCAACAGAGACTCTAACCATTTATTATTAGGGCTCAGCAGCACCAGTGCTGAGTCCAGTCTTAGTATATGAGCTCCCAGTCCTCAGATCACACGATCCTTCCAGTGGATCCTGAGTCCCATCCTGTGAAAAGACATTGTTCATTCCTGATGCGATCGGTGTCTGGCATTCGTTCTTTCGAAGGAGTGCAGTGCTCAGCTCTTGCATGAGCTGGTCACTGATGGAGATGTCTGCCTGAAAGCTCTTCTTCCTGGTGTCTCTAGCCTGAGTCTCCCTTCCAGACAGAGGTTCATGATGGAGGGCAGATGTTATGGTTGGTGCGGCCTGGTCCCTGGCTGGGGCAGACAGTACTTGAGGCTTAGTCTGTATTTCTGCAGAAGCGCCTTGAGTAGTTCCATTACCTGAGAGTCTGTCTGTCTGGAGCTCCTTATCTAGGTCCTGAGGAAAGGCTTTCTCAAGGCAGGATGCTTTTGCTAAGCTTGTTCCAGATGATCTGGGAGCTGGACAGTGGGGCAGTAAGCCAGATACATCCTGCTTTGAGGAAGCAGCTGCCTTCTTGGTTTCATCCACAGGAGGCAGCAGGGAGTGATTCACCTCTGGAAACCCGATGTCTGCGAAGTTGCCCACCTCCTCATAGACAGGTTCAGAGTCATCTGCCTCCTGCTGCTCCTCTAGTGAGTCCTGGTGCATCTTCATTGGCTGTGAAGGCCAAGACAAAAAGTGTGTCAACGTATCTCGTTGTACTGTATTCCTTGGCTCTGAACATGTATTTTTTTCTACATACTGTACTTTGGACTCTTAAGGCTTAAACTGAGAAACTCAGCACCTGAAGCTGTGACCTAGCTCAATGAGCCACAAAAAGCCAATTGAGGACCGCAAGAGAACAGTATAGGCAGCTTTGGACCCTGGAGCTGGCAACCCTGGAATCCAAGCAGAATGGATCAGTCCCAGGTAGGAACCCTAGGAATTTGTCCTTCTTGTCCACCATGCTTGTGGCTCAGAAACTCGGAGCCTCCACAGCTGGCTTTGCTCCTGATCAGGATAAAGGTAGAGCAGCGATAGGCCAGCATCCTTAACCTGACTCTGACTCTGGTGAAGTTTTCTAGTTGCAAATGAAATACAAGTTGGAAAGTGAAGCCAAGTACCCCTATCCGATGTGCCTCTTCACAAATGAAAAGCCAGGCTGGTGCCCCTGCCACCAGCAACACCAACTGCAATGGCTTTGTGGAGCTTGACTTCTCATAGGAAGTGTAAAGGCTACTAGAAAAGCTCAGGAGAGACTAAGCTCGGATGTCCCCTGTTCTGGGATGGACCAGACCCAAACAGGATTAAATAGGAAGTTCTTTCCTAGGCTGTGTGCCTTCCATGGCACCACTGAACTTCCTTTCTGGCTGTTTCCCCCCTCTAAGCCCCAGTTGACCTGGCTGTGGTGCCTTGTTCTTGGACAATGTTTTTTTTTCTTACCAATAGACTTGCCAAGATATCATGCAGAAAACCTATCTGGCATGTTCCCCTTCCAGACCACAAAATAACATAATCTGAGGCAATCTTCTGTGCAAATGTTATTGGGGGAAAACACACACACACACAACTGAGCAGAAGAGCTATACTTTTGTGGGGTCTTTTGATGAAAAGCAGATTTGTGCCCAACAGATTAGATCTGCCTTCTAAATGTCATCAGTAATTGGTGCCCAAAATTTGCTGCCTGAAGTAACTGTGTCATTTTGCTTCATAGGAGGGTTGCATCTATTTAATTCTGTGGACATGGTGTCATATTGGGCTGAGACTTTAATTCGTGAGTTTGGTGAAAAGGAGAACAACAAATCCACAACAAATCTCATTGTACCAATTGAGGTGGATCAACACACAGGCCACACGTGGAAGAAAGAGCCCTACAGTGCTTCAGCCACAGGCCACTGGTGAATTAAAAGGGAAGATTTATGGCCTCTTCATAATTTAATGGCATTTGCTTTTAGAATTAACATGAGATTTACACTGTGATAGACTGTGATAAATAACAAAACTTTAGATACTTACAAAGAACATGGATAATGTCCTTCTCGTATGGAGGCGGTGCTGAAAACAAGATAAAAAATATGAAGCAGTTAATGTTATAGTATAGATGACTAAGGAGAGCAGAATAATTAGTATTAGGGTGTCACTTGGACAATGTAGCAGAGATTCAGACGTCTTCTTTGTACTACTCCCTTCTGCTGCATCCAATAGAGTACTATTTCTGGCATGCGGCTTCCTCCTTATAAAGAACACTAGAAGAAGGAGTTGTAAGGAAGCCTTCCAGTCTAACATGTGAAGAGAAAGATACCTACCAGTAACAAATGTATGGGAGAGCTACAGCAGATTGTTTGGCTAGGAAGAGTTTGTATGGAAGAAGTAAGCTGGATGTGTCACTGACATCAGGATTAGTAGCCCCTGATACTGACATCCTCATCCTCTATAAACTCAGGCTGCCACCTTCCCAAAATCCATAATTTCCCCCTTCCACTGCTTGGGCTTCTATAACAAAACAAAAAACACAGAGCCTTTCATATCGGTTCAGGCATGTGATTGCTTGAACTGATGCAGAAAAAGAGGACAAGCTGAGCACACCTAGGCATGCACACATACACAAAGTGATGCTTTGTGGAAGCACCTTCCCCTTCACCTCTTGCCTCATGAGGAAGGATAAGCGATGCACACACACATAAAGCTGTGCCAGCTCACACTCACAATGAGCAAAGCCACCCTCCATGGGCAAGAATCTCTTCTCTTTTTTAAACAGTTTCTCATCCTTTTGTTTTAACTGCCTAAGAATGGAGCTGGCCATGGGCAAGAATCTCTTCTCTTTTTAAAACAGTTTCTCATCCTTTTGTTTTGTTTTAACTGCCTAAGAATGGAGCTTCATAAAAACAGAGATAACAAGAGGAAATTGGGAAGATTGAGGAAGGAAAAGTGTTTTCACACCTTGCTAATGCAGTTGTTTGTAACAGCACCAGATGCAAGGCTATAAACAGAACTGCAAGTAAGAAGCTACAGCATCTTTCCCTCCTCTTTCCCTGTGTGGCCACTTAAGCTGAACAGATCTGAATTACCTAGTGCAGCTTCATAGTGAGGGAATGCAAGTGAATCTGGTGTTTCCCCTCACTGTGTAGTGACACCCTAAAGGAGCCTTACCAAGGTCTGATTAGCAGAGAGCATGATGGGGTTGGTGCTGTCTCCACGTAGAGGGATCAGTGGCATGGTGCCAAACTTTTGCTTGGCCAAGTCAGAAGAAGAGCGTCGACGCAGGATGACTGGACGGATGCTGTCATGCTATATGAAGGGAATAGAAAAATCGTTCCTTTTTATTACCATTCACGGCACCACTAGTTCAGCCACAACATGGCTTGTTTATAGCTTTTCTAGATTCCTGGTGTGAGCTCTGAATATTTAAAAATTTTCCATACAGAGATATCTGTAAACATCTATATTGTGATGATGTAAAACTTAATTTGGTTAAATCTCCTTTCTCTCATAGTCATTGGGAAAATGGCTTTGCTGTTCCAGTCTTGGGGAATTAGACAGTCCAGCACCTATGATGGAAGCAACAGTGGATGCACACAAATATTTTGTTGTGAAAACAGCCAAGCTTTGGCATTTACCTGGTCTGAGTGCTTACTAAAGGTTCAACTTACACATGGAGTGTCTGATTCTGCTTTCTTGTCCCCTGCCCTAACATGGCCCAGGGAGTTACTTGTGGTTGCGCAGCAGGCAGCGATGGTGGCAGCTACAAGAGATCTAAGACACTGGATAGAGATTATCCTTTTGCCAAGTGACTGCTGGCATTATTTCCACTAAGGACAAGCTCAGGACCAAAGGTATTATTATTTCACAGTGGGAAAATGAACAAAGATAGGTGTGCCAAATCCTGTAAAGACAACTTCTTTATTAGCTGCTTTTAGGTTTTCATAAATGGAGATCAGACATTGCTTCTTTATCCCAGAAACATTGATGGATATAATCTGATACAAATATTCCCCACCCCATGATTAATTTAGTCTGCAAATCTCCAGTTTGATACTGGATCTGAACTTTAAAATGTCAGGATTACACCTTCTGGTTCAATCTTTGGACTCTTCTCTTTGTTAGGTCACAGAGTATGATGGCTCAACATCCTCTGAGGGATCCTGCAGAACTTTATATACCTCTAGGGAAAAAAGTCAGAAGCCTGTGTTCATCATAGCTGGCCTTTATCTCAGTTAACGATTAATTCCAGAATGAAATCAGACAACTTTTTCCAATCACATCAAAATTCATCTGGGTATCGAGGTATAAGTCTTTTTATTGTTGCAATAATTTCAGGCCACATCAGCTTGTATAATTCTACAAGCATTATTTATCTACATTGCTTCTATGTTTCATATGCAAAAAATTCTTCCTAAATATTTAAAAGTCTTACAGCTATGGAAAAATGTAAGCACAAATGCTTAAAAATATATGGAAACTAAAATTAAGCTGCAGACAGATGCTTAAGTCAGAATTCACTCCAAAATACAGACGCATAAAAAAGACAACCCCCCCAAACTACATCTTAGTTACATTCCAAAAATGCAAAAACTTTATTTATTTATTTTTATTTATTTAGACAACCCCCCCAAAACTACATCTTAGTTACATTCCAAAATTGAAAAAACTTTATTTATTTATTTTTATTTTTTTAACTTATATGCCACCCACTCTACCCAAAGGTCTCTGGGCAGGTTACAACAATGAAAATACAACTAGTAGCCTAAAAAGGCACAATCAAAACAGCAAAACTCAGAGAATACATCTCTAAAATACCAAAGTTCTTAAAAGTAAGAATATATAAAGTAGAATTCATTTCTTAGGCTTTAAGCATATTTTAATAACAGATAGAGAAAATAGCTCTACGTGCTCACCCAGCCAATTGCTATTGCTGGAACTGCTACTGCTGCATGATTGATGTTGGTATCCAGTGTATGTAGTGTGTTGTGTTGCAGTAACAATGATGATGTGAGTGTGCCTTTGGCCTTCTATATTTCTTTCAGATGTTTACAAGTTCCCTTCAAACTGTAAACATTCTCTTTTTCAGGACCTCCAAGTAATAAGGGTCTGAGGCACCAGCAGAATTTTTTAAATAGGAATTTCCATTGCTTTTGCATCTCATGTAACATAAAATGCCTTTAACTCAGAATTTGGCAAGCTGCCATTATGTTGAAAAGCATAATTTTTTGACTAAGAAGGTTAGAACCCAGCAGTCTGTACCACCAGAATAGTAATTCACAGAACAAATTGCTGGTATTAACATAATAAGGACAACAAGTTACAGGTCCTGCAGATGTCATTTCTGATCATGTTGCACATTGCACTGCTCTGCTTATTACAAATCAATTATTTAAATGCATTTTCAATTCTATTTCATGGCTCAACTGTCAGTGACCTTGCTTGGCTGGCTAATTGTCTTGAAAAAACGTAGTAAACTGCTGTTCAAACCTCATTATAAAAAGCACTTTTCAGGGCTGCTTTTTCTACACCTCCTCTAAATTATTTTAATTTTGTACACACAGAATTTTACCTCTTAACCTCTTTTCACAATCCCTACCTAGCTTGAACTCTGGAAAACTTGAAAGCTTGCATATTTGTAGCACTTTGCTTTATCATAAAAATAATTTATCCAGTTGGGGATATGTGGTTATGCACTGAGGATTCTGGAAGCAGCAATCCTGGATCCATATCAGCAGCAGAGGTAATTCCATTGTGATTCTGGAAAGGTTTGCTGCTCTTGTTCTTCCCCACCACTACAGTAAGCCATTGGATCCCTGAAGGGCCGAGAAGAGGAATAAATTGTGTGCCTGGGGTACTAAGGGCAGCAGGCTTATTTCAAGAAAAAGTGCTCACAAATAGAGGGTTGTCAAAGGACATTTGGCTAGGACTGGGATGATACAAATGAAAAACTCTATGCTGTGACAGAGGAGTGGGGAGTGGATATAGGAATGTTGGAAAGAGGAAAGAAGTATAAACAGTGAATTTAAAGAGTCAGGAATCCAGAAGAAGTTGGGGCTGCCAAAACAACAGCAACAAATAAACAAACTTTCACACAGGACCTATGGACATGCAAGAGAGCTTTTAAGACCAGTGTCCATGTTGTTGGTGGTCTTTTTATTAGGCCAGCTAAAAAGACATCACAATCTCTGTGCCAGCTTTTAAGATTAAAAAAAAATCTTCCTCATCAGTTGAGATGGTTCATCTTGGTTCGTGGCGTGTTAACTGTGACTACCCATGAATTTCCCTGGTGAACTGCCAAACCATGAATCAATTCATCAGTTCATTTGGCCTTTTTTTTTTGACAGCCCCTGGGGTTATCTAAAAAAAGCTGAGCCCCCCACCCCCTCAGCCTGCCACCCCCCCTTCCCATTGCTGCTTACTTTGTCCTGCTACTTCCTCCTTCTCCACTGCCGCTGAAACAGAAGCTAGGCTGCCAGAACAACGTTTTCTGTTCCGGCAGCCTAGCTTCCGTTCCATTGCAAAGAGCAGTGGGGAGGGCTTCCCTTTGGGCAAGCCTGACCGAAGCGATTCCCCCTCCCCACTGTTTGGAAAGACAGTGGGGGGGGGTGAATTGCTTCAGTCAGGCTTCCCCTGTCTTTCTATGCCATGCAGACACAGAATGACTGGGGAAGCCTGACCAAAGCAATTCCCCTTCCCCACTGTTTGTAAAGACAGTGGGGGGGGGTGAATTGCTTCAGTCAGGCTTCCCCTGTCTTTCTATGCCATGCAGACACAGAATGACTGGGGAAGCCTGACCAAAGCAATCTCACTCCACCCTGCTGTTTGCAAAGATGGGGGTGGGGTGGAATCCCTTGAGTCAGACTTCCCTTGTCTTTCTATGTTGCATGGGCATAAAAAGATGGGAGAAGCCCGACTGAAGTGATCCCCCACCCGTGCTGTCTTTGAAAATACTGTACAGTGTGTGGGGGGGGGGGGAAATCCCTTGGGTCAGACTTCATCTGTCTTTCTATGCCCATGCTGGCAGAGAAAGATGGGAAACCTGCCCAAAGTAATCCCCCACCTCACTGTCTTTGCAGAGACAGGCAGGATCCCTTGGGGCAGACTTCATCTGTCTTTCTATGCTCACACAGGCACAGAAAGACAGCCGAAGCCTGACTGAGGCAATCCCCCACCCTCATTGTCTTGAGGAAGCCGCCTGAAGGGAAAGCCCCTCTCTCTGCCTATGCTTCCAAGGAACTGTTGATCTGCAGGGGCATAAGCAGAGATGGACAGATGAAGGGACGAATATAAAAGGAATATAGTTGTTGCTTCGTATTCTTCAGGGTCTCAACCTCACAAATACAAAGCAACAAATACCTGACAAATCAAAAATTTTCATCGAATATTGCGATTCATTTTTATATTCATCCCCGTGTCTGATAAAAACTAGTGGAAGTAGCTGCTGCATTCTGTATAGTTCTTCTCACTAAAGAGCAACCTTTGCTTGAGACATGCAGGGGAGTCCCCATCCTACTCCGCCACTGAATCCTGGGATGTGATGAACATTTCCATTAGCAGCTCCAAGTGACTGCCTGCTGATCAACACATTTCCTCCTCAAGAGGGATGCTTCCTAGAGGCCCATCAACTAATTACAAAAAATGTCAAAGAAAAGATGTAACATTCCCACACATACCTGTTATTATAGGCAAAAACAACGTAGGGTACAAAGCTTTAGGTACAAAGCCTGCCGGTGTGTAATTGTTCCTTTTTTCAAACTGAGTTCAAACACTTTACCGTTACAGACAGAAAATTGTTGTAAAGCAAAATTTCTGTTATAATGGAATGCATATTTGATTATCTTTCTGAAATTCCTACCTGGACATGATAATTAACACACCAGGGAACTTCATGCTAGCAATCAAAGGCCTGGAGGAGAAAGCTCCAGAAGCTCTTTGTTTCAGTAAAGAGAAACACAGCCAGAATACTTCCTCACACCAAAATGAATAGGGTTAAAACAAATTTTCGGGATAGCGTTATTCAAAACATTTTCCTCCCTCCCTACTTGTGAAGTATGGTGGCAACTTTGAGTTAAAAATGACACAAATCAGGAAGCATCCTGGATAGAACTCCTACATCTGAAAAGAGCTTTTGAAGAATCCTATTTGAGCTCAAGGCAAAAAAGCCCATCTGGCCCGGGGTCTTATTTTGCACACCAGCCAACCAGGTTCCCCAGGGGAAAGCTCACCAGCAGGAGATGGGCCACCGGAAAATTAACTTGATGGAAAACCAAGAACACCTGAGCACAGCTTACCAGAATACTCTTACACCAACCCTGTTAAAATGAGGAGGTACTATGGAAAAGCATCACTCCACAGAGCTGCGTAGGAAAAGAAAAACTCTAGGCAGGACTGGTTTAAAGGGGGTGGCAGCTCTTTGCTAATATTTTCTGTCCACCCTTTAGTCTGCTACCCATAATCTAAACTGCTGCTCAGCCTCATCCTGACACACAGTGGGAAACATGTAAGTAAGGAGTAGGGGAAGCCTCCCTTCTCTGGCCCTCTCACTTTGTACTTGAAAAGTGCTGCAGGTTACTGGGAGAGATGGGCCTTTCCTCTCACTAGCCACTGAAACAAAGGGCGTTTTACTCAGGAAAATGTAAGTATGCACATACAGTAATCTCTAATGATCTATTCCTTTGATGTGAAAAGATAAGTTTTTCACTTAAAGCAGGAAAAAGTAAGCTTCAGCTAAGAACGGTACCTGCTAGTCACCTCAAGTTTTCTTCAGATGACAACTTCACGTACTGCATGTCCTCAGCACAAGGGCAAGTACATTGCTAAGAATGTGGCTACATTTGGAAAAGAACCTGAATTTGAATTGGGTTTAACATATTTTAAATAAGATTTTTAAAAGGATGAATATATGACACACAGAGAAGCCCAGATTTTTAACTCCAGGGTGGGTGTTATTTTGTTGGAAAGCAGATTATGGTATTTTGCTTTACTACCAGAGGGTTATTTATTTTAAGTTGGATGTAAAAATCAATTTAATTTGAATTGATTTGCTATATGTAGACCATGAAAGGACCATGTATGCCCAGGAAGGAAGGAACAGGAGGTGGCAATTGCATTCCAGTGGGAGAGAATGATCCCTCCTTCCCAAGTGTAGAAGCTCCTGCATTCCATGCATGTGTGTTGCTCTGTCCTCTGCTTGTTTTTTCCTCCTTTGCTGTGGCTCACAAAGTCCAATCATTTTTCAAAAAATTCTGTCATTGCAACAAGGAGGGAGGAAAGGTGGGTAAGAGGAAGGCTCTTTGCCAGCCACTGTAAATGAGGAACAAGCTTTATTTCATTAAGTGTAACCATGCTCCGAGACATGAAACTGTAAAATCCAGAAAATCTCTTTGGGGATGAATAATTGTATCAGAGAAAGCATCAGTGTTATGATCACTTATATACACATTTAACTAGTAGTTTACCTGAAAACAACTAAATGTACAAGGGTTTTGGATGAATGAAACTCTGCATGCTTATAGAAGAGAGTTTAAATTCATTACACACCTGAGCTTTCAGAATGCTGGTGGTCCAGTCCCACAGCTCGGATTGCCCTGTGCATGCCAAATACCTGTAGAACAGACATGGCCAGTTTATGCCAGCACAAAACACCCTTTGTCACACTTTCCCCACTGGCTCAACAGACTGTAGGACTTTAGGTCTGCAGTTTCTTCAGGGAAATGACTCCCCAGGATATTAGAACTGGCTTCTAGAAAAAGGTTAAAGGCCATTTTTCTATTCCTACCAATAGCTACCCAGATGTTTCTGGTCATTCAACTGGGAGAGGGGCATGGAGAAAAGATAGTTTGCTGATGCTTTTTGCCATCAGGATCTCAGAGATAACTTGCCACTAAATATGGAAGGCTCATATTCACCTGCATCTGGTTAAGTGTTGCAAATAAAACTAGCTAGCTTTTGAGATGCCACAAGACTCTTTGTTGTTTTTTTCCTTCTTGTTATTAAGGATGAGAAACTCAACAAGGAACCCCTCTACTCCAAAGTGCAAAGCAGAGAACGGCATGCTATCGTCTGTCTTGGGAGTAAAGGCCGGGAGCAGGGTTTATGTTATCTCTCCTCTCCAGTGTTGTCCAGTGGGCATGAGAACAGCAGGCACTAGCTTTGCATTGACCATAGCAATGTCCTCACCCATTTTGGAAGCATCCTCGAACACTTTATTCTTCTCTGAGGAACAGCACTCAGAAACTGAACTGAAAGAAGCTCAGCATGCTACCTGCTCTTCTACTATGGAGAGAGGATGGCTTCCATGCACCATTTCCCCACTGAAATAATTCCAAGCAGAATTTGTGATAGACCCTTTCCAACCCTTCATGCCCGGGATGAGAAAAGCACAGAGAGGAAGGGGGGCCAAACTGAATGGCAGAAACAATCACCCCCATCGTCCTTGAGCAAAACAGAAAGGATACTCACAGCTGATGTTTTTCTAGGATGACAGTAAAACCCCACCTATAACGGAGATAAAGACAAAGTAAGACAAGCATTTAAAAGTAATGAAACTTAAATGAGACCTAGCTGCAGCAATTCTGGCTACTTAAACCCACAACTGCCAAGATGAAACAGTCTAACCTTAGCAGAACAATGCATAGCTGTTCTGGGGATCCCTACATATCCCCTCCCTGAGGCAGGGAGCTTGGCTTTATTCATTGCATAGCAGTAAATATGTATGCGCCCCTGTGCACGTAGGCAGAGACCTATGACCAACCACAGCTCTCTGCCCTACATAACTGTACACATTTGTTTCACACATACATTAAATATCAAAATGTCCCTGTAAAATATTTTGTAGATGCAGGCCTTGAAATAGCAAAGGGAAATGACATTTGGCAGGTTTCATATGAACATAAAAAGCTGCCATACCACTGGCCCATCCATCTAGCCCTGGAGAGTGTATCTGATGAGCAGCAACTCTCCAGTCTCAGGAAAGGAGCTTCCTAGTTATCAGTTTCCTCAGGTCCTTTAAGTACCACCCCTCTGCATATAGAGCATCAGCTTAAACCACTGACATATGCCTCATTCTGCTTGAGCCTAGGTATCTCAAAGTGGGTGGCATGGATTAGGTTTCACACAAAAAGGTAGTGCTCATTGCTAGGGCAGTAGTTGGTGCTCAAGCCACAGGCCAAGCTACAGCTCTCTCCACTGCACTCTACAATTCCAAAGGATCCTGGGGTCACTTACAGTGAAGGCGGTTTCAGTTTTTTTCGAATCCCCATGTAAACCTTAGCTGTGTCTAGCAGCCACTCCCGCTCTGGCTTGACACTCTGGGGAGAAAGAATAGCAATGTCATCCTCCATCCAAAGGTATAAGATGGCACAAGAGGCAGGAACTTGTTTGCTCTTTGGACTAGTAATCCTTCTGTTCACTTTTACTTCATTGCATTGAAAAATTGATTCTGTCACAATTTATATTCTCAGTTCAGTAAGCATCTTGAGCTAGGGGTCAGGAGGTTTCCCCACAGATTCCTCACTGTGCCTTGTAGGAGAAAAGCCAGCATGTGTATCCTTGGGCAGGCTGTATAACCTCAGGGTACACCCAGAAAAAGTAAATAATAAACCCTTTTGAGCTCTCTACAACTAGAAGTCCCTGGAAAGGATTGTCATAAGTCAGAACTGACTTGACAGTATGCAATTATTATGATATTACTGTTCTTTCTAATTGCAGGCATCAAACTGAACTCAAAAATGTTTGGTGTTTTGGTGGTATTGATATGAAGGAGGTGAAGGACAGAGTGGCTTTGGCTGCCAGATGGGCGGTATATAAATCAAATCAAATCAAATCAAATCAAATCAAATCAAATCAAATCAAATCAAATCAATCAATCAATCAATCAATCAATCAATCAATCAATAAACAAACAAACAAACAAATAAATAAAATCTCCCCTGACTATATGTGGGAAGTATTTAAAAACAGTCTGGATTAATTACAAAGGATTTTCCAGATGTCCTGAATTACTATTAGACTTTCATATATAATATATGCTAGCTGGTACTGTTTGTCAATATATAAAGCCAACTAATGAAAGTGCCAGCACCCAGTTAGCTCTGGCAACCTGCTGCCATTGCCAATATAATAATGTTTATATTGATACTGTATGCTACACACTCCAGAGTGGTTCACATATGTCACTGGAACCTTTAAAACAATCTTGTAAGCTTGGCCAGTAATAATGTTCTCATTTGGTGGCAACTGGCAGAAAAATTGCAATCGCAAAAAGATCTTCGTAAAGCGGATTCATTGTAATGCGGGGCAATCGTTAAGCGAGGCACCACTGTAACAGTAAACTTGCAAGATGGGTGCTGAACCTGCAAGACTTTGACTTTGAGATTCACAGTGTAAAAGGGACTCAGAATGTGTTTGCTGACGCCTTGTTTCAAAGGCCAAATGACTAATGGGTGGATAAAAAGTTTGTAACATTGTATTAACTGTTCTGTTTGTATAATAATTATGAAATATCATTAAAATGCAGAGTTGCATGGATGTTGGTGAATTGAGAGGTGTTGGTGAGTATTCTTGTTAATGAAAAGGTAACGTAATGTAATTTTTATTGATGTAATAAGTAATGCAAGAGGCTAATATGTCTTTATTAATGCAAATGTAATGTAATGTAATTTGTATTAATGTGAATAATGCAAACGGTTAATATGTCTTTGTTGATGTAAGAGTAATGTGATATATCCTTAGTGATGTAAATAATGTAAAAGGTTGATATTTGTATTCATATGCTAATTGCATAGACCAATGGGAGTGCTGGAGGGGCAGAGTCAGGAGGTATAAGAGGCTCAGCAGCAGCAGGAGGAGAGAGATAGGCATAGATAAGGTTTGGATAGGGTTTTGAGATGGAGAATTTGAGTGTTGTGAGAGTTTTGGAGTTTGGGCTCGAGAATGGTGGTTGAGGGTAGATAAAGAAGAATGTTTGCTTAAGAGTTAACAACATTGCTTGTTATGTCAACATATTTATCAATAAACAATTTCTATTTGGTTGTTTAAAATAACATATGGCCTGGACATATATCATTAATAATCAGAGGCCGCATGGAATTGTGACAAGAACATCCAGAACTGAGTGCTTGTCAAAAGATTTTCTGTTATCTAATCCTTTGTCATCTCCCGCCAACTTTCCCTTATGCTTTTTCTTCTTTTTTAAATCCAAGTTTTAAAATTCATCTTTTTTCTTTATTTAAACTTTTTGTATCTACTTTTTGTACCTGTTGACAGCAGCTGACACCGTGCCCTCTTTATGGTGGGCAAACCAAAGATGGAGGCCAGAGGGGCATAAACATCCTTAAAAATAGTAAAGATCCACTAGAGTTCTAGAAAGGCTTTTCTCTACTGCCTTATAGTAGCATTATGAACAGGCAGCACAGTTGAGCCTGGCATTGACATCAGTGGTTGGTGCCTGGCAGACTTGGACCCCTCATCCACCTTGGGGGTGCCAGCACAAGAAGAGGACACAGCATAGTCCTATGCAATGAGATTCCATTTCCTGACTAAATGTCTCAAGTTCTGCCATGAAATGTAGTAGCCTTTGAGACATAGCAGGAAGTCCCTGGTTTGTGATTGGAACTCACTGGACATCTAGCAGGGAGCAGAACCTTTTCAATTGTAATGGTGGCACTATTGAACACCCTCCGCCAAGAGGTCTGCCAGGCTCTGATGCTGCAGAGTTTCAAGCCAAATTCTGGCTTTTTCAGATAGCACAGTTCATTTATTTGTTTATTTATTTGCTTGGCCTTGGCTGCTGTGCACTTTAATATTTGATTACTAATCTAATAATTTAACCCCTGTTACTTGTTTTTGTTACCTTTTTTGTGCTGGATTATCTATCTATCTATCTATCTATCTATCTATCTATCTATCTATCTATCTATCTATCTATCTATCTATCTATCTATCTATCTATCTATCTATCTATCTATCTATCTATCTATCTATCTATCTATCTGTTCAAAAACTGTTTTAAATGCTTGGGATCATTAGTGCACCTTGTAAAACCTTTGCAAACTTAATTTGGCTTTGTTCTGACTCATCGTTAATTTTTGGTGAATTCCCCCCCCCATTGGAAAGCATTGAACTGCAGGTTTGACAGCTGTCAAAATCGGGTTCAATGTATTTCAATGGGGGGAAAAATTCACCACAAATTAACGAAGTTAGAACAAAGCCAAATTAAGTTTGCACACGTTTTAGAAGGTGCACTAATTATCCCAAGCATTTAAAAACGTTTTTGACCCTTTTAAGACACACTTAAAATTGCAAAAACGGACATCGCAAAACCATTGGAATGCATTGAATAGGCTTCAATGCATTCCAATGGGGGGATACATTGTTTCGCTTAGCGATGTTTCCTATGGCCATTTTCGCTTAAGGACGGTACAGTGGGGGCTTGATCTTGAGAACTTAATCTGTATTGGAAGGCGGTTCTCAAGTCAAAAAGTCTGTAAGTCAAGTCTCCATTGACCTACAGTGCATTGAAAACTGATTAATCCCGTAACAGGCTGTTTTTGTTCCATTTTGTTTTTTTTCTGGTCTGTAAGTCAAATCTCAGTCTGCAAGTCAAACCTAAATTTTGCAGCCAGAGAAGTCTGTAACTCAAAAAGTCTGTAAGTCAAGTCGTCTGTAAGTCAAGGGTCCACTGTAATCCGTTCCCATTGGAACGGATTAACCAGTTTTCAATGCATTCCTATGGGAAATGGTGTTTCGCTTAGCAATGTTTTCCCATAGCGATGTTTTTTTGGAACCAATTAACATCGTTAAGCGAGGCACCACTGTATATTTAAACCATATATATATATGGACACTTGGCCAACTTATTCAGACATAAGAAGCTGTTGATGAATTATTGAACCAGACCACTGGCCCACCTACTCCAGCACTGCCTCCTGTGACTGGCAGTGACTGTCTGGAGTTTCAAGTCAAAATAATTCCCCACTTGTGCATCCCAGACCCTCTTCACTTATACAGAACAGGCAAAGGTTGTCAAAAGGTTGACTTGCTTGTCTCAAAGGCCTCAACATGCAAGACTATCTCCAAAGGGCAGATGTACTCACCTGTGAAAAGGCAGCTGCCTTCCTGGATGGACACCTTTTTCACTAGCAAATAGGCAGAGCTGGGTTTGGACAGCTTACACCACTGTAGGGCTTGCTCTAGAACCTTCTCTTTGGGGTGCAGTGGGCGCTCTGAAAAAGAATGGCCAGAAGATGGTCAGGGGTCCACTGTGTGCATATTTGAGTTGGGTTGGGGTGTACATCTAATAGTGCCATCCGCCCAAGGATACTTTCCCAGAGCATTATCAGAGGATCAAGGGTGCTTTTCAATTTGACTTGTGGATGCAAGCAGGAAGATACAGAAGTAAGCATTCTATATTTCACAGACTTTCATTTGGAAGATATCTTGGAGGTCATATGGTCTAAACCACTGCTCAACTCAGGACCTAAATTAAACTACAGCACCCCATTAGATGGCTGCATGGTCTCTGCTTAAGCATTTTCAGTAAAGGAGAGTCCATCATCTCCAAAGATGTCTGTTCCACTATTAAACAGCAATTACATTTAGGAAGTTTCTCTTATGTTTAGCCAAAACTGCTTCTGCAATTTTCAGCACTGTTTAAATCCTGTCCTCTCATGTAAAACAGAGCATCTGTACTACCTTCTCTGACACAGTCATCAGATATTTGAAGACTCAGTCACACACCTCCGTAGTCTTCTTTAGTTAAAACACACACAATGTTTCATTCATTTCTTACAGGACATGTTTCCATAATGCTCCCAGCCTCCCCCTCCTTTGGACGTGGTTCATAGGGATGTACTCTTTCATGTTTTTGCACTTCAGCTCCTGCTATCTTCCAGTGTCCTCTTACTTCCTGTTGCTGATTTTTTTTTAAAAAAAGGTAACTGCAGTGTTACTTCCTGGGAATTGTACTCTCACATTAGGCTTTACAGAGGGTGTCTCCCAAAGAACTATGGCTCTCGGGAAGCTCCACAGCAGCTTCCCTTTTCTTTTCCCCCCCAAATGCCCAGACTTCCAAGAACTGAAGTCCTAAAACACAAAAACACACACTCCTACATTTGCTTCACTTTGTTTGCATTCTTCATAAACTGTGGAAAGCATAATTGAACCTAGGACCACAAGTGCATTGAAACTTAATTACCACCTGGAGCCTTGTGGGGTGTTTTAATGGAAAGGTACAATATAAATGTTTTAGTAAACATTGGAAATATGTTTAGACACATAGGATCTGAAATACATCTACAGCCATATTCTTAAAGGCAACATAAAGGTACAGTATTGCCACATCCACTTACCTAACTCTCCATTCTCTAAGACCTCAAAGGTCAGCCAGATGTCCAGACTGGCAGCCACATTTCGCATTTCCAGCACTTGATTTGTCAGTTCTTCTGCCCTCATTATTGGGGACACCTGTAAGGAGAGTTTAGAGTCAGCCAATCCAAAGGCTAAAACACTGCTATGTGGCCAAAGGGAAGATGCGTAATTGGATATAAGATATATTGATGCACCATGGTCTGCAGTCCATTTATACACGTCAGCATGAGAGAAAAGTAGCCACTTCAACAATAGCTGTGAGGGTCCTTCTTCCCAGTCTTAGAAAAGGCAAAGGCTCTGACTGATCCAAGGGATTTCCTGATGCAAAGCAACTTCGCATTATTTCTCTTCCTGTAGGTAAGGCCAGTTGCTCCATTCTTCTCATAAATCCTAGGTCACACTTGTTTGCTCACCTTAAGAGTGATGCAACAGTCAGGATTCTTCTGCTCCAGGTAGACCTCCAGAATGATATCACCAGCCTGGGAAAGCTGTGGGAGAAAAGGTGAAGCAGAAATGAATATGGCTTGGGTTGGGCGGGGTGGGTGGGTGGCAGACAAATATGTGGGAATAATAGGAGCCTTGCGAGATGGTTAGAAAATGAGATTGAACATCAATGGCTCATGGTGCCATTTTTACATGGCTCTGGAGACCAGAGTATGAATAGGAGAATTGGAACTCTACTCACAGCTCCTGTCCAGCATCTTCCAGCAGTATGTGTACCTGAATACCAGAATGGCAATGCCCTGAGTAATATGTGAGTATTACCAACTGCTAGGTGAGGTTTAAGAACACATATTGTTCTCTAGATGATTGCAACATCAAACAACGACTCTGTGGCTGAACTGTTGTGCAACTTTATGCCACAAAAAGCTAATGATGCCATCAACTGTGGTAGTTTTTTCAGAGGTGGGATTCAGCAGGTTCGCACCTATTCTATAGAACCGATTCCTAAATGTACTATTGGTTCTTAGAACCGTTTGTTGGCCTGAGATGAATGAAGGAGGAGGGGCCAGGTGACCAGCGACGAGCGGGGTGAGGGGGCACAATTAGCTGCCTCCCTTCCTGCGCCACACTGAGCCGGCTGAGGTGGGGTGTGGGTGAGAGAGATAAAGCCCTGGAAAGAGCAGAGGTGTCAATGGGGGAAAGGGGGGTCGAGGATAAGTCCTTGACGTCACTGGAGGAAAGCTCATGGCTTTGAGGCAGAGAGGGGGGTGATTGACAAGGCATGAGGGCAGGACACAGAGGGAAAAGGTTTTGGGGTGAGACCACTTCAGTCAAACACCCATTTTACTATGATTTTTTTCAAGTTAAAGGTACCACATAAGACTGTTGCTTATGTGGTACCTTTTTTTTTAAATGTCCTGGGTATGTATGTATGTATGTATGTATGTATGTATGTATGTATGTATGTATGTATGTATGTATGTATGTATGTATGTATACATAGAACCTGTTAATTTATTTGAATCCCACCACTGAGTTTTTTGCAGATTAAAATGTCCAGGTCCCACCCCCACTCCACCTGAAGGTCCTGAGGCTCTCATGTGATGCCTTTCATAGTGGGGTAGCTGACAGGATGATATTACTGCAGGTGGCAAATTTCAGAAAGTAAAGTAAAGATGGTCTCCCATCTTGCAGTCTCCAGTGACTTGGAACTTTGGGAGGGATGGGAAATTTTTAATCTCTTAAAAGCCGCCATGATTTATTACATCATCAGCCTTGTGAGGCATAAATACACAACAGGATTTCAGCTATAGTGCTTATGTATGTGTATGAAACAGAAAGGGCGGGGAGAGTAAGCATGGAACATTCTTTACCTCATCTCATGCTAATTTAAACACAGTACATTACAAGGGAGTGATTCACAAATTCAGCTGCAAATAATCAAACTTTTACTAAGGCAGTGATTCTGAGTCTTTAAAAGATTTCTCTCTGGCTGCTGCTGCAGCCAGTGTACCTGCTGAGCAATATGCTGAAAGGATGGATAGGAGGAGCTGTAGTACCTGCACGTCTCTCCAAGTAGTAATCAAACTGTTCTCTAGATCCATCTGCAACACCTGGTCTTCATCAATCTGTGAGACAGAAAAAAAATATATGTAGTGAACACATATTAGCAAAGCAGAGGAAACATATATGAAGCAGAAGTGGAAGAGGGGCTGAGAAAACAGGCAGGGGAACTCACATTGAAGATGTGAACATAGTTGCCAATGAGGTCTTCCATCACTTTAACCTCATGTTCTCCCTTTCCATCTGTCTGGAAGAGGCTGGGTGCAAAAAGGAGAGCCAGGTTCTTGGTGGTCATTTGGTTCAGGCCAGCACATTTCTGTACCCTGCAACAGGAGATTGAAAAACACAAGAAAGGATGTGGTTGATGTGCTGACACAGTGAAGGGAGGAACAGCTTTGACACATAGTGCACCTCCAAGCATTGCATTCTAAGATGTCTGACAAAGTGGATTTATTCATGAAAGCTCACATTGGAATTAGTCCTAAGGTGCCACTAACACTCTTGTGTTTTGCTTTTTTTATTCTTTTTTGTTTTTGTCTGAATATTTCTGTGACCTGCATTTGCATTGTATCTTCCGTTTTCCTTTATGCCCAGGTGTTTATGCTCTGCTTCCTTTTCTCTCAGATGCCCAATTCTTCTCCATGTGGGTGAAAAGGCTGCTTATTGGATCTTCCTCTCTCTGAAACCACCAGCATTCTCAATATCTTTCTTGAAAGATGGAGAATGCTGTGAAAGCACAGGAGCATCCCCCCCCCACATTTCTTTCACTAAATGTGAGTGAAATGGAAGGAATGTTATTCAGAAAGATAACAGCAAAATTAGGCACAGTTATTTGGAGAGCTTGTTTTCCAGTCCATGCACCTATTTGTCCTGGCATGGACTAAATGTGTGCATGTGTGTGTGTGCACGCATGCTGATATATAGCAGAGAGGGATAGCTGCATGTATTTAATTAAGTTAATTTCAGCTAGCCTTAAGAAGTGGCTGTTCCACACTGATAACGACAGACTGGACACCACATTTCACTGATTCAAATTTGAATGTGGAGAAGACAGTTAAAACTTCATCTATGGGACAGATGCATGCAAAGTTGTTTTACTAAGTCTGGAGAAGTGGCTTGAATATATAGTATGCTGCCCAGGTGTGTCATTGGTTTTAAGATTAAAAAAGCAACTGGAACTGGGCGGGGGAGGGGGAGAGAATTTGGGATGGGACTGTAGCATTGCAGAGAAGACCTTTAATCCCCCTCCCTCCATACCATCTTTTGGATTTCAGTCATCCCTGAGGTGCTACTAAATGCAGAAAAGTGAACAGGGAAAAACCCAGACAAAAATCCTGTAGTGCACCTGTCCATTTTAAATCTGCAATTCCTACTGCCATCCTAGGGAAAATATCCATCAGAGAAGTGATATGTGGGTCAAAATGAGTCTTGAGTATTTAAAAGTTTAGAACATTCATTCCGTCTAGTTATTATACAGGCCAATCAAATCACCTTCTCACAATCAGCTTATTAAAAGAGAATCAGACTTATCTATTTATCACCCCATGTCTTATTGCACGGTATTAAACATTACAGTTCCTTCAGTATTTTACCAGCTGTTATGAAGGATGCAAATGAGAGTCATTTCAGCCCTTGATGGAAAAAGCTACACAAGTATCTGAGAAGTGCTTTCTTTTAATTGAAACACCTGCAAGAGCAGCTCTGGGTAAGCAAGAAAGGACACATTGAAAGTGAGCAGTGAAAGAGAGGCTAGACCAACCGGTACAGGTGGCCAATCAGAGCAGCCAGGGTCCTGCGGTTGAGGTGGGGCAAGCAGTTTATCAGCTCCTTATATCGCTCCAAACGTTGGGACTTCTGCGCAATTTCTGGGAGGAAGAAACAGAAAATTATATCTTCTTAAATATACTACTTATAAAATTTTAAGCATGGTTATATATTATTTTGATTAAATATTATTATCTAATGATGAAAGTTTGACATGTGCTGACGTCATGTCTCATAACCTCTCTTGCTCCAGCTTCCAACTTCCTCAGATTCAGATGTCAAAAAGCCCTCATTCAAGGAGTTGTCTTCTCTTACTTTGGGACCTTCCAAACCATAACATGTTGCTCTGCTGGACTGCACAGAGACAGAAGACCTATTCCTGATGCACATATCAGCTCCATGATATAAAGCATGGGTTGGCAACCTCCAGAAGTCCAGAGGCCATATGCCACCCATTTGTGGGCCTTAGAAGGCTATACCTGTGATCCCCACTCTCAATTTTTTTCTTTCAAAATTGGGTGTATTTTTTTTGTTACACGAAGACCCAATTTTTACTCAGATGAAAATGTTGGTGCTTCAGAGGCCAATCATTTTCTTTAAAAACATTTTTACAGTGCAAGGGTGAGGCAATCCAGGGGTGGGGAAACACCCTCAAAACATGGCAAAACTGCTTCTGGGTGGGGCTTTGTTGCGGTGCTGCCAGTAGCTCCAGAGAAGAGCTCTCTCTGGAAAAACTGGATCCCCTTTTTGAAATGGGGATCGAAGGAGAGTCTAGGAGAAGTCTCTCTGAAGCAGATGGTGAGCAGCAGAAGGAGAAGAAAGGGATGCAAACCCGGACTTCTTCCCTCTGAAGAAATCACCCACACGGATCGGAGCGGGCACCATATTTGGCACAGAACCATGAGTAACCCTTTATCGGGGAGAGGAGAACAACCAATATAAGCTTAAAATATATAACAACTAAATAAGCTGAAGCCTTTGATTTATGAAACATCCCCATTAAGCTGAAAATAAGAATGAAAATATTTGGCTGAAAGAAGAAAAGCAGCAGCTAGCCTATCTTATCAGTCTGCCTCAAAAGTGAAACTAACTCTTAATACTGTACAGTAGCAGGCTGGTTTCAAAGCCGAGAGAGTGAGACGGAAAAATAAATCTTGTCTTTCTGGCAAAGAATCCCAGATGGTAATACCATTGGACAGGATTTAAGAGACATGAGTTTTGTGAATGAAGTTTGGCTGGGACATGTTTCTCTTTTCCTTTTCCTGGACTCTGTGAACTGTTAATAACAGAATCTGGTTGTTTTCTGGAGAAGAAAGAAGGAGCTGACGTG